TTATTATTAACAACAACAACAACAACAACAATAATAATAATAATTAATTGGCAGTGTTGCCATAAGCATAGCAACAAATAGGAACATTCATACAGCTACATATTTCAGTACCAGATTTCTTTCTTTTTTTTAAACAGTAGTTACCAAAATAGAAGCGACCCAGATGTGGGTTATTGGTGGTAATATGTGGATCAAACCAGAAGAATCCCAGGTATGAGAGACGTCCATATTTGTACAGAGGAGACTAACAAGTCATTGGTGTCTTTGTGTGCCCCAGGTGGGATCCAGTAGGAGCCCTTACCTGCCACCTGTGGGCCACGTCTGCACGATATCTGGTGGTTTTTAAAAAGTGCCAGCAAAACAAAAAGAAAGACAAAAAGAGAAAAACGGACCGAAGTTTGAACACACCACCATACACTCCTAGTTTGACTGAATGGATGGTGTGTGTTTTCGTTCCGAGGTCTCTGTTTACTTTACCTTAAACAACATAAAACAGTCCTGGTCCTTGGGGTTTTACACCAATGTTTTTACATCCCCCTGCCGCCCCCCGCCCTCGTCTGTCACACACACGCTGAGGCACGCGCGGTATCACGTGGACGCGCATCAACAGCGGACACGTTAACAAATAAATCCCTTACAGTTAATCGGTAACGGTGCTTCTTTTTAGCCTCCGATAAAACCGGTGCATGGACTGAAATAAACTGCGTGTTGTCAAGACATTCGGTCAAAGCTTTATACAATCGTGCCCGTCATTTTTGTCATGCACACGCGTTATCGGACACGCGCCTGGGTCGCGGTCTCGCCAGAAGAGGGCACTTCTGTGTTTCTGTGACAAAGTTCTGACGTGATGGACGACTGTAGTCTCGGATCTCCAAGTGAGGAGGTTCTGCAGGATCTGGACTGAGAGCGCGGATCCAGACTCAGACTGGATTGAAGGGTCCAGACCCTGAGAAGGATTCGGATCGAAGAACGGATGCGAGGATTTGTGACGCGCTTGGAAAAATCCTGCTTACTTTTGCGTGTGCGCCACATGCGCGGATTGTGCTGCGGGTTTTTCTGGTGGACCAGGATCTAAAATTCCTACCCTGCTTCTTCTGGTCCTTTTTAAAAAAAAAAAAAAAAAATCAGGATTCTGCAGAAGCTCAGCTCCTGACATGAACGACGTTGACGCGTTTTTCTCTTCTGCGCTTTTTCACTGCAGCAGCGTGTCAGAAGTGTGTGAAGGCATGGAGTAAAAAACCCGGATCCTTCCCTGGAATCTGGACCTGGAAGGACCCGAGGTTCGCCTGTGTCTCAGCAGCCAGACTAAAGCGGTGACTGAAAAGCCGATGTTCTGCGCCGGGTCTAGACGGCAGCTCTGTGTGGACACTGCTTGATCAGGACCGGTTCGTGGCTGCGCTGGGTCTGGAGTCGTGTGTGGGCTCTGGTGGGTTTGGACCGGTGTTTGGACTGCGCGTCATGCGGACTGTAGTGTGTTGAAGCTGAGGCTGGAGCAGACAAACCTGCGGACATGGGTAAGTTCGGTTTTTACTCTGAGTGCGTGGGTGGATGTGGGCAGGTTCCGCCGGGGTCTGGTTCTTTCCTCACACACACACACACACACACTCACACACTCACACACTCACAGACCCGGGATCTGGGTTTGGATATAAAACCACTGTTGCAGCAGCAGGAACAGTTTCTGCTGAAGCTCGAGGAATGAAACCTAAGCATTTGAGTCTCTCCTTCATTTTCTGGCAGATTTGTTTTATTTATAAAAACCTGATGCTGATTTAGGTATTTATTTATTTTTAAAGATTAAAGAGAATCGGGTTCAAAGCCATTTCAAATGCAGCTTTTCTAAATGAGTGGTGTTCATCTACTTCCTAACCAGACAGAAGAAAAATGGGTGGTGCTGAATTATTATAATCATTTTAATTGTGTTACTGTAAAAATACTGTTCCTTTAAAGGAAGACTGACCCTTTATTTGCATGTCGCTCTCATTGATCTGCAGCTGAATTCTAATCACGGAAAACGTTGGACGCCAGTCAACTTTAAAAACATGATCCTGCATAATCAGGGACGGTCCTGGTTCTGTTGTTCAATCTGAGTCCAGAACTGAATCAGCGTTTAGGAATATAGGGTTATCTTTCTTCTTGGGACTTATTTCAGAAACAAGCAACACTTTTTTTCTTATCCATTACCATCAGAAGGAGGAGGAGGATGAGGGTGATGGGGGCGGGAGTGCTCTGCAAATATTCTCCCATCTATCACTGCCCATCCTTCAACCTCCACCTCAGACCCCAGCCAGCACCACTGTGTGTTTAAGAGTGTGGACATTTCATGTTGCTGTCTTTTATTTTTGTGTTTTCCTCTGATGCCTGATTTGTTTTTGTTGAGTGTGACCAGTCAAACACCGGGTCAGTTCTTCAAACACTGACGCTGGTATTTACATCGTCCAGCTCCGTCTTCTTCAGTCTGTCTTTAGTCTGATGATCGTGTTCTTCCTCTAACCCACTCTCCCTGGAGGCTGTGAACTAGTCTCCATTCAGCCAAGTTCAGGGCTGGTTCTGTGCCATTAATTGTGAGTCTTGATGATATATGGAGCCTCAGTGTGTTACTGCACCACATCAATAAAAGCTTCGGCAGCAGATACTGCGACAGCGCTTTTTCCCCAGAGTCTGTTTCTTATTCTTAAAACAAAAAAAGAAAAACCATTTTAGAAAAAAAAAAATACAAAAGAATGAGAATCCAGAGGTTCTGTCAATCATACACCTGTTTGATGTTGTGACGGTTCAATGAGGCTGAGGTCACACAGGCCCAGCAAATGTTGGTGACTGAACATGTCTGTGGAAATCCAGATAATTAGCATCTTATATATAAAGCTGGGAGCTACGCTAACATACGATTGTTTGTGTCCACAAAATTATAATTACTAAAAGAAATTTAATTAAACTGATGAAAAGCAGGGACCTCCTACTGCCATATGTCAAACTCGAGGCCCACGGGCCAAATGTGGTCCATCACATCCTTTTATGTGGCCCACCAGAGCTTCTTATGCATCTGATTTGAAAAAAAAGGTTGATCTTGTCTAAGTCTACTGTATATGGTATTTGTAGGGTTAAAATGTAGTGGTCAAATTCTGTGCAAAGCAAGTAATCTAAGATTATAAATGAGAGTACGTTTACGTTTGCAATAGTTCAATAAATGTTAGCCCACAACTTGGTCTGGGTTTTAATTTTTGGCCCTACTATAGCCACTCTGTTTCACACTGCCTTCCTACTCACTAACATAACAAACAGGTACCGTTTCAAACACTCGATGGTACAGCGAGTGGGCTGGCAGTGACACCAACATCTATAAACAGAGCTGTCAACTGACACCAGTGTAAACACTGAACATAAACATGATACTACTGTGACATAACATAACATAACATTATGAGCACAAACAGGAGCCAATGAAACTGATGATCAAATTTAAAGAGCTGTCAAACAGTTACTAATTTAAACAGCATTAGTCTCAGGGTAGCTGCAGATTAATATCCAATAATTATGATTAATCTTGACTGTAATAATCATAAATAATCAGGATGAATAATTCTTCCTAAAAATGATTTATAGAAAATTGATATATACATATACAGTGGAACCTCAGTTGTCGCCTCCCTAAAATTTGGTTCACGAACAAAATTTTTAACCAACAATTGCCCCAGTTGTTGTACCATCGGTTGTCAACCAACTCAGTTGCCGAACAGGCCAACAATATCAGGCGGGCAACAGGAGTGTGTGGCGTCAGCCCGCGCTTGGGATATACACGCTAAGTAACTAACTTTTGACTAACTATACACGCTAAGTAACTAACTTTTGACGGTATTTCGGTATTTTTATTCCATAAATCACCATGAAAAGAAAGGAAAGTAGTGAGAACAACAATTGAAGTGAAGAAAAATTATACAAAAGCATGAGAATGGCGTGTTTCAGATCTGTCTTTACAGTATGGCTTAGACAAGTTGTCGGTTTGTACCGTCATTAAGAACAAGGAAGCTATAAAAGAAGCTAAGATTGTCAAAGGAGTGACTGTGCAGAGGATCTGAATAGATTTCAGTGAACCGTGTGCTGCCCCTCTTGAAATTTCAGCATTACAGATTTTGTAAATCGCTATCTGTAGGTCTTTCTCAGATGTATTGAAATATGTCCACACCGCAGACATGTTGGCACAAGCCTGTGCTAGTCACGGTTTTTGCTTGCGTCATCATAACGATTTTTGGGGACAGAAAATTTGGTGAATCCCTAATTTATATAAATTAAAATTTAAAAGATAATATTTGACTGACAATGTATTGAATTGGCTCCCGTGCCCCCTTCTCAACCCTGCAAAGGAATAAGCGGTAGATAATGGATAGATGGATGTATCTCTGTGAAAACTCTTT